TTAGATTATTTTACATAAAAAAAAAGTAATTTCAATGCTTTTATATATCCTAGATCAAAATAAAATCACGAAAATTTCAAACGTGTCTTATTCAACATAAATCATATACTGTATTGTAAATAAATATTATAATGTATTATATAAATACAAAAGAAAAAGGATTGACATAAATAATTGTTTTTTGTTTAGCAAACACCAGCCAATACGCGCATTATGTCTTCAACACTCTGGACCAAGATCACAGTGGTCTACTCAGTTTCGAGGTAAGCTTGCATCTCATTTTTCATAGTTTCTTGCTGGTCGTCGTCCTTCGGATTATTCCTTCCGTCATTGTGACACATATAGGACGTCAGCTGCATCTGAAAGTGCACTTTTTGGCACACACTTCTCGCGCGCATCGAGAAAATATAGTCCAGTATTAAAATATGAAAAAGACAAGTAGTAGTAGTAGTAGTAGTAGTAGTGCAACGTGAAAGGAACATTCGACGAATGACAGATCGCGTTCGATGCAATTTTTCATTCTCTACGAGAATCGCTTAGGTACTTTCTCTCTCTCACTCACTCTCTTTAGTATTTCTTGTCCAATTATTCAAATATGATTCTCATGAGAAATTCTATTTTCGTTCGTAAATCGTCCACCTAAGCGCATATTTCATAATGGGTGGCATTGCATAGGAAAAGCTTATTCTCTTATATTTTTTTCACTTTCTTTTACTTCTTTTTTTTTTCGTCCCTCCCACCATAAAAAAAAAACTAATGTTTCACTGGAGATTACTGGCATATGTAATTGAATTAAATGCTATTATATCTTGAAATAATCACTCGAAGAAAAATATAGCTCAATTAAATATTTCCCGTGAGAATAATTACACATACACACACATATAGCCACACACGCGTGTATAATGTTGTTTGTATTACGTGTTTTAGCTTTAATCGGAATGTTGATATAATCGTTATATAAATTGGCCTAAAACGGACAACCTGTTTGAACTAAATCCGAGGAAAACGGGAATACTCCTGGGAAATAACGAGGGGGAAACAGTTTGATACGAAAGGTTTGTTAAAAATAGTTACGATGGACGTGTGTGCATTCGTGTTGGTTGTCAACGATAAAACCGGGAAAAGGGGATACGTTTTTTCCAATGAACGTTATCGTTTAACAATGTTAATTAATGCGTTCGAAATGAAAAGAAGTTAAAGAAGAAAAAAAAGGATACAATGGGGAAATTGTCGAGCGAATAATTATGGGAATAGTAATAATGGTTGGTAGATGGTATGGTGCTAGTGATGGTGGGAGTTTTTAGATGATGGTGGAAGCTAACATAATTATCTCCCGTAACTAGAGATCGTGATTGTACTTTGTATAATTAACCCGCGGAGTTGCCCTAGAGCTTTTGCGAAAAGTTTCATCAGTTGGTTGGTCTCATCCTAGTCTTCCACATTTTTCACCATTGCCAACATTCTTTTCTTTTCCTTTTTTTTTCTTTTTATTCAATTCATTCTTTTCTTCCATATTAAACCTTTCCTATCCGGTTTCATTTAATTAAATCGACGTTAACAAAACTAAAAGTAGACATTTTACAAATGTTACATGGTACCACGACAAATTTCTCTCTCATCCGATATAGGTTTTTCCTTTTTTTTTTTTTTTTACACGAACTTAATATCAAACAAATGAAATCGTACGCGTGTAACGCGATACGGGCACTGATAAAAATAAAAACTCTTATTTATAGGTTTTATTTAGAAAAAGAAAAAAAAACCCCGTTATCCATTTTCCCTTTTCAATTTTTCTTATTTCGACCCCCATAAAACTCTACTCGCATAAGCCCGGATCGGTCTCCTTAAAGTCTCCAAATAACAAAAAAAAGATTACTGTGATAGCTAGTCATCTGAGTTCGAACATCCACTAAGATTTGTCCCTTTTTCCTATTGGTCAACAGTAGGTTTTTCGATACTTCAAACTCTTAGATTCTTTTCTTGACTATTATCATCTTTCACTTCTTTATCTATCCTGTTGCAAACTACTCAATGTGCTTTTCCGAAAAACGAACTCCAGTGACCGTTATCCTTAATCGTATTACCCTCTCCCCCTCCCATCTCCCCTCTCCCCACCCTTTCCGTCTTCACTTTTCGAGATATTCTACCTCCTCCTCCCCCTCCCACCCTCTCAAGCCCAACCCGTTTCATCCTTTCAGTCTCGAAAGTAGCTAGTCTACAAAGTTGCAGATACAGCAGCAAGTTCACTTTTGCAAATCTCTTAGGTCGTAATACGAGAACGTATATTCACTTTCGGAAAGTCGTGCAATCTTGTCACCATTCATGCGAAAACCTCCTCCAACCCCTCCCTCCTAGCCCCACCCCACCCCCACCCACCCCTACTTCCCATCTAATCCGCGTTACCTAGCGAATAAATAACAATTTTCGTTAGGAAACTGAAATTGGAAAAGGAATCCTCCATTTTAACCTTTCCACGACGGGAAAAGCAATTATCTCCGGTTTATTGTTTACCCTTTTCTGTCGGCGTGGAAATAAAAAGAAGAAGAAGAAGAAGAAAAAAGAATAATAATAAAGGGACAGAGAATGTATAGGGATGGATATAATATAGCCTCGAATATTTTTTTTTTTTCTTTTTTTTTATACTACCTTCCTATTCTCTACCTCTTTTTTTTCTTTCTTTCACATTGAAAAATTTATTGAACGAATCAAAGGAAAATATGCTGTGCTCTCTCTCTCTCTCTCTCTCTCTCTCTCTCTTTCTTTGTGAGAGATAAAATTATTTAATTAAATACTCGTTTATATATTTTCTACCTATTCGTTGCATTCCTCTGAGAAAGTGCAAGGTCATTCTTATTAAACATAATAAAATAGTTTGGAATTTATAACGACCCTGAGAAAAAAAAAATAGGAGTCTCTCCCCCCCCCCTTCCCAACCCTCTTTTCCAAAAATGCAACATTTTTCCGAAGGTTTAACAGTAAACCACTACCGACACTTCACGTATACTTATTCTTATAGTGAGTGGTCAGATGACCGTATAAAAAAAAAATTAATATATCGTAAAATAAAATGAGATTTCAGTCAATTGGACAGTGAACTAAATATTTTCTTTTATTTATAAACGATTAATATACAATACATATTATATGCGTTTTAATAAATAAATAAATAATATATTATATCAATGGAC